CAGAAACCTTCTTCCCTTCCTCAAATACAACAGAATCAAATAAAAAAAATTGTTGACAGCAGTTATTAAAAGATTGCCTGAGAACATCTTTATTTAAATCTGCCAGTGATTTGGATTTATTCATCAAATTTGATTACTGGTAATCCATTTCAGGGCTTGGGAATTATCACCCAAAATACAAATATGGAGTGTGATACAGCTGTTACAGGATGAATCTGCTTCAATCTCAAAAAGCAGGAAGAAAAAGAATGCCATGGTCCAGCATATAACTTTTATATACTGTTGTTGCTCTCTAGCCCCATCTAGTGGCCGGAGAGACAAATACCAAGTATATTGTTTGAAGCTGACCCAACCTCTTTACTCTTTACCCACCAGCCCACACTCTCAAAACAAGTGCATGCTGGGAAGACAGACTCTATTTCCTTTAGTGTTTGGAGAAGGCAGAAGCACAAAGACAAATCCATCTTAATCTGTGGCACATGGTCATCCAAGGACAAACCCACATCCCACATAGAGAGCATCACTGGTGAGATTTAAATTACTTGTATTTATTAATTGTTATGTTCAGCAGTAACTCAATACTGCCTATCTTGTATTTGGTTCTCATTGTATGTATTCCTATTTTCCAGTTTCACCATATTCTGTTCTTTCAATAAAGCATTCAGACCTACACACATGGTTTGATTGATTGGGGAATAGATGGGTTTAGCTGCATGTCAAGCTACACACAGATTTTACGTGTAGTGAGGACAGAACAAAGAAAATGTGTTCTCAAGAAGATGAAGATATTAAAACGTTTAAAGACACAGTGTTCGTAAAATACAGAGATTGCTAGATATGCACTGCAGTGTTTAGATATATTTTTTTCCCAGGGGACAGTATAACTGGCAAATCAACCAAAACTGATAACATACAGTTCTGGTCTCAGCTCTAATAGGACCATTCAAGAGGATGTTACTATCCATAACATCTAAAAATAATAAATACAACACTCTCTAAGAGACTTTTCCTTCACTCAACTGGATTTAGGATTATCTACTTTAGACTAAATTTTAATTTAATTACATTCTTCCAGATACATTACGAAGAATTGAGTGTCATCCAGGGGTGGGATTCAAGGAGAGGTTGCTTCTCTCCTTGTTTAGTTCTCATCCATTGTTTCTTGTCCTGCCTTCTGGTGCTTTGGAGAATAAGTTGACTCCCCTTCTCTTTGTGGCAGCCTCTCAAATACTGGAATACTGCTATCATATCCCCCTAGTCCTTCTAAAACCAAAACCAAAACCAGGAAAAACAGATTACCCATAACAATAAGGAAGCTTCAATCCAAAAAGAGATCACTTTGGCAAAAAAAAAAAAACAAATCTGGTCACGTTGCCAACTTCAAAAGCCGATACAAAAATCTATGCCACCAGATAAAAACTGAATGCACTAATTATCACATTGAACAAGAGGAAAACCTTCTATGCACAAATTCCACCTGTGCTTTCTACAATTTTGTAAACAACAAACTAAAAAACTCAAGGTCCATCCCACCCCTGAAAGGACCTAATGGCAAAGATTGCAATGATGACACCATCAAAGCAAACCTCTTTAACACATTCTTTGGCTCAGCATTTGTAAACAGCAATGGATCAAGCCCAGTACTTCCTAGTCGAACCGCAGACAACTACAATGATCTAATACATATCGATTTTACATAAGACATTGTTGAAAAAGCACTGCGCAATCTAAAACCATCCCTATCTATTTGACCGGATGGAATATGTGCCTACTTCTTAAAAAAGTTATCCACTGCCATAGCCAAACCTCTAAACATAATCTTTGAAAAATCTTTCAGGACCAGCTCCTTGCCAAAACTATGGTCACAAGCCACGGTCAACCCCATCTTCAAAAAGGGAGACCCCAGCCTAGTTGAAAATACAGACCAATCTCTTTATGCTGCGTCACCTGTAAAGTCATGGAATCAATTATTAACCAATCCATTATCCTCCACTTAGAGACAAACAACCTACTCTCTAATAAACAATTTGGTTTCAGAAAAAAACTATCCTGTAATCTGCAACTCTTACACTGCAAAAACATATGGACTACACAACTCAATCAGGGCACAACTCAATCTACATAGACTTCTGTAAAGCCTTTGATTCAGTGGTACATGACAAACTATTCCTAAAACTAAAATCTTAGAGTATCTCTGGACACCTGCATAACTGGATAGAAGCATTCCTGTCAAACAGACAACAAATGGTCAAAATTGGGAGCGTCCGATCAAATTCTGTACCTGTCAACAATGGTGTCCCCCAAGGCAGTGTTTTAGGACCAACTCTCTTCATACTCTACATAAATGACCTCTGTGATCATATTAAAAGCAACTGCGTTCTCTTCGTCGATGATGTAAAGCTATTCAACACCACAGACAATACTACTACCTTCCAAAAAGACCTTGACTATGTATCAGAATGGTCAATCAAATGGCAACTTCAAATCTCAACAAATAAATGCTCTGTCTTACATATTGTCAAAAAAAAATCAGAAAATAAAATACAAGCTGAATAGTCAAGACCTTGTTGAGGATCCAAACTCTGTCAAGGACCTTGGAGTACTCATCTCAAATGATCTAAGTACCAGAGCCTACTGTAACTACATAGCCAAAAAGGCATTAAGAGTTGTTAACCTAATCCTACGTAGCTTTTTCTCTGGTAATATCACACTACTAACTAGAGCATACAAAACATTTGCTACACCTATACTTGAATACAGCTCATCAGTCTGGAATCCATATCATGTGTTTGATATTAACACAACTGAAAAAGTCCAAAAATATTTCACAAGAAGAGCTCTCCACTCCTCTACTCATTGCACAATACCTTATGCCACCAGACTTGAAACTCTAGACCTAGAAAACCTAGAACTACGCTGCCTCCGGTCCGATCTAAATATAGTATATAAAATCATACATTGCAATGTCCTACCTGCAAATGAATACTTCAGCTTCAATCATAACAATACAAGAGCACACAATAGATACAAACTCAAGATTAATCGCACCAAATTTGACTGCAGAAAATACAACTACAGCAACAGAGTGGTCAATGTCTGGAATAGTCTACCTGACTGTGGTTTCTTCCCCAAACCCCAAAAACTTTAACCTTAGACTGTTTACTATTGACCTCACCCCCTTCCTAAGAGGCCTGTAGGGGGCATGCATAAGCGCACCAATCGTGCCTACCATCCCTGTCCTATTGTTTTTTATTTTTCTTATAAGTATCTATCTCATGTGTTCAATACTATATTTATTCTTATACCTGTATCTTGTAAGCAATTGACAAATCAAATAAATACTAAATACTAAAATACTTTTCTCTAGATTAGCCAAACCCAAGTTCTTTATATGCTTTGGTCTCCAGGTCTTTAATCATCTTAGTTGCTCTTCTTCATATTTTTCCAAAGTCTCAACTTTTTTGCAATGTGGTATCCAAAATTGGATGTAGGTGTGATGCTACTAAGGGTTTATAAAATATTACTAATACTTCAAATGATTTTGAGTCTATGCCTCTGTTTATACAACCCAGGATTGTATTTGCTTTTTTGACAGCTACCATACACTGCTGGTTCATATTTAATTGATCGTCTACTAGGATTCCAAGGTCCCTCTCACAGTTATTGTTTTTGAGCCACATTTCTCCTAATCTGTACTTGTACCTTTGGTTTTTCCTGCCTCGGTGTAAAACCTTGCTTTTCTCAACATTAAATTTCATTTTGTTGGATAGGGCCCATTGTTCAAATCTGTCAGGATCTTTTTGCATCATGTGCTTGTCTTCTGGGGTGTTGGCTATTCCTGCCAGCTTAGTGTTATCTGCAAATTTGATGAGTTCCCCTTCTATTTTATCAGTCAAGTCATTTATGAAGATATTGAAGAATACCTGGGCCTAAGACAGAATTTTGTGGTACTCCACTGCTTACTTCCATTCAGGTAAATATAGTGATATTAAGGACTATTTGTTGAGTACGATTTGTAAGCCAGTTAAAATCCATCTGGTGGTGATTCTGTCTATCAAACATTTTTCTAGCTTATCAAGAAGTAGTCTACTTTGTTGAATACCTTACCTTAGGTCTACGTATACTATGTCCACAGCATTTCACTGGTCTACTAATTTACTCACTTTGTCAAAGAATGAAATGAGATTGGTTTGGGTATGATCTGTTTTTAACAAACCCATGCTGGCTTTTAGTTATAACTTTTGCAGATCTCTTTTTTTATTATATTTTCCAGTATCTTCCCAGGTTTCGATGTTAACTAATTCGTGTGTAGCTTCCTGGGTCTATTTTTTTTCTCCTTTTTTGAAGATGGGAACCACACCAGCTCTTTTTCAATCTTCAAGTAATTTCCCAGTGTTCCAGGATTTTTAAAGATACGGTACAATAATTATAAGATAACACCTGCCATTTCCTTTAGAACTCTGGGATGAAATCCCAGTGATTTATATTCATCAAGATCAGACAGGTATTCTCTTACCATTTTTCTGCTTATTTTAATTTTTATTTCTAGTCTGTCTTTTACAGTTAGGTTTTTGGTAGGTTGGGCTATAGTTTCTTTTTGTGTGAAAACTGATGCAAAGAATTCAATTCTAAATAATCCTCCTCTGTGTTCTGCATAAGTTTGAACTTCTTCATATGTTTGAAGGTAGTTATCACATCTGTCCTTCATCTTCATATTAAATAAATTGAATACACCCAGTCATTCCTTGTAAGAATGTTAGTTTGCTTATAATTATTTCAAGTCCCTTATCAGTTCGGCTTTCTTTCTGCTGCCTGTTACTTCTTTGCCACCTGCTCTCTTAAGTGAATCTGCTGTTTCCTTGACTTTTTTCTTATTATTTAAAAGCTGAGCTACAAGTATTTTCTATTATTTCAAAACTTTTTTTTAATTATCTTTGGTTTTTGTTGCAAGTCTTTCTTCATTCTGAGCCTTTGCTTTCCTGATCTCATTTTTGAGCCACATTGGCACAGTGATTAGAATGCAGTACTGCAGGCTACTTCTGCTGCCTGCCGGCTGCCTGCAATTTGGCAGTTCGAATCTCACTAGGCTCAAAGGTTGACTCAACCTTCCATCCTTCTGAGATTAGTAAAATGAGAACTCAGATTGCTGATTCTGTAAACAGCTTAGAGAGGGCTATAAAGCACAGTGAAGTAGTATATAAGTGTAAGTGCCATTGCTATTTGCAGATTTGGACTATCAGCTGATATTTTGCCTTAGTTATGCATCCCTCTTTCTATTGTTTGTACTTATCCTTTTCATCTTTCATTTTATCAGAGAAATCTTTGTGCAACCATGCTGGTTTCTTCTTGGATTTCTTGTTTTTCTTTTTCAGTGGTATTGTGCTGAACTGGGCTTTTATGATCATATTTTTCAGAGTTTCCCGTGATTCTTGAGTTATTTGCCCTTTTAGGATTTTCTTCCATGGAATTTTTTTAAGGCTCTTTCTCAGTTTGTTAAAATCAGCTTTTCAACTCATAAAATATTTCTATGGTCATTTTATAGTTGACAACAGAAAGTGGGGGGAAGGGGTTTGAAAGAGCAGTGCAGCAGTTTGGAAATCAAAAGTGCATTCCATACATAGTTTTTCAGAAATAGTAACTAGGTGACTGAAGTTTCTGCCATGCAAAAATCTAACTGGAGAACATGATTGATGATTGGCTATGGATGTGTCTCATTGGAGAACATGAATTATGATACACCAAGAGGGTGAGGGAAAACCAGGGTCAAAGGTGACAGTGAATTATGTGTCTCAGAGTCAGCTACACCCAGGCAGTGTTGGACATGTTAACTCCCAATAAATTCTTCGAAGTTTTGGAAGTTTGGCTCGAGACTCATTATTTAATTGGGGTAACGTCCGGAATCTTGACACAGCTCTTTTAAAGTTTAAGACAATGGCTAGAATATATTCTATTGCTTGTGTGTCAGAGTATATTCATTAACTGGCAGAGACATGGTTAACAAAGTCAGCAAGTGAGTAAGCATGGCAACAGACCAGCCAATGGGAGCTGACAGCCTGGGCGTGGTTTGGCTCTGTGTGCTTTGCTGAGAATTGAAACTGAAATTAGAGTTCTGCTCTGAACTGGAGCTGTAACATGTCTGCTTCTGTTTGTGTTTGCTTGTAACCTTTCCTTTTTGGAAGAAACTACTCAGGGGTGGGATTCAAATTTTTTAACAACCAATTCTGTGGGTGTGGCTTAGGTGGTGGGCGTGGCTTGGTGGTCATGTGACTGGGTGGGCATGGCTTGGTGGTCATGTTATTGGCTGGGCGTGGCCAACTCAACATCACTCACATCAAGGCACGCATCTTCTTGCCTGGCCTCTCGTGACTATGGGGATGCTGCAACAGTCATAAGTGTGAAAAATGGTCATAAGTCACTTTTTTCAGTGCCATTGTAACTTTGAATGGTCACTCCACACAAGCAAAGTACCAGCAAAGGAGGGGGGAAAAACTGCAGAGAGGTTCCTGAGACAGGAAGTCTAGTCCTGCCAAGAATGTAATAAGGGTTAACAGAGAGGCAATTTCTGTAAGCAACACCAGAATGTTTCCTTCCTGCCTTCCTTACAGGATTAGGCCAGTAATTTCTTCTAACAACCAGTTCTCCAAACTGCTTAGAATGTTAACAACCAGTTCTAGCGAATAGGTGCAAACTGGTAGAATCCCACCCCTGAAACTACTGGTATTGTATATTTAGTTATATTATGTTTATAAAGAAGTTAATCATCCTGCTGAATCAGTCATCTGTGTGTTTTCTGGATTTGAATTTATGCTGCAAACTCTAACATTAGACTGTCTACTATTCACCTCACCCCTTTCCTAAGAGGTCTGTAGGGGGTGTGCACAAGCATACCAAAACATGCCTACCATCCCTGTCCTATTGTTTCTTTTTTTTTCTTATTCATATCCATTTCATGTATTTTTAACCATGTTTATACTTATACCTGTTATCTAATAATTGTTTGACTAAATAAATAAATAAATAAATAAATAAATAAATAAATAAATAAATAAAATTGTGTTTGCATAAAATTGAATACCAGTATGATGTGGTCACTCTCACCCAAAGTTCCATCAACTTCAACTTTTTCCATCACTTCTTCTCTTTGTAAGAATTAGGTGCAATGTAGCTTCTCCTCTAGTTCCTTCCTTTACCTTCGATCACAAGTTTTCAGCTAAGATGGTTAGGAATCTGTTCGATCTCTGACTTGCTGAAGAGTTTGCCTTCCAATTGATATCAGGGTAGTTAAAGTCTCCCATTACTACTGCGGTATGTTTCCTACATACATTTGTTAGTTGTTTAGCAAAAAGTCCATCTATTTCTTAAGCTTGGTTGTGTGGTCTGTAGTACATACCTATAGAAACGTCATTCTTTTTTCCTTTTATATTGAACTATATGGATTCTAGGAAGTTTTCATCCTTAGTTCTGTGGATTTCTATAGAGATGTAGTGATCTTTTATATATAATGCAACTCCTCCTCTTTTATTGTTTCTTTTGAATAGTTTGTATCCTTCCATCAGTACATTTCAGTCACGAGTTTCATCCCATCATGTTTCAGTAATAGTTGCCATTGGTGTACTTCAAGTTCACACTGTTTCTTCCCTAAACGTTGAGCATTCGTGTATAGGCATTTGAATCCTTTATGGGTCATGGGTATGTTTCTTATATCTCCTACTTTGTAACTGAGTTTTCTATCCTTTCCATCTCTCTCTACTTCATTGTGTTTTTCCTTTTTTCTTCTTCTTCTTTCTTTTTACTTCCTATTGAATTCTACTGAATCCTAATCCTAATGAACAAAGATGAGGCTGAAGAAATAAAACTTTTGGAAACTTGGGGGAAGTGAATACATCAATTTGGAGGTTCAAGATAATATAGGAAGAAATTTTAAAAAGGTGGAGAAATTGGAGCATAATTGGGGGCAATATGCTGACTCTGTAAACCGCTTAGAGAGGGCTGTAAAGCACTGTGAAGCAGTATATAAGTCTAAGTGCGATTGCTATAATGGAATAATGGGCAGAAATCCTCAGGTCAAGGAAGCTGAAGAATTTCTCAGCAATAAAACACTTGAAGTGCAAGCAATCACCATTATGGTGACAAAAAAGATGGAAAGTAGTTTAAAACACATTTACAGGTGCATTTGGCAGATTTTGACTGAGCTACGAGTAAAATGGGACTGCATCAGAAATGAAAGATAGGTGAATTCACCCAAGAGGTACACCAGCAAGTCACTCATATTGGGTGGGGAAACTAGAAAGATCTAAAAGAAAATTACATTTGTAAATATGGTAAATCTAAAAGCAAAAAAGCAACTGCTACTGGTAAAAAGAAAAGGGCAGTCCTGAGCACTTGAGAATATTGTAGGTTATTAATAGTGATGGGATTGAAAATTTTTACTACAGGTTCTGTGGGTGTGGCGTGGCTTGGTGGGCATGGCAGGAGAAGGATACTGCAAAATCTCCATTCCCTCCCCACTCCTGGGCGAAAGTTACTGCAAAATCCCATTCCCTCCCCACCCCACTAATCTGATTTCCAGCTCCGTTCTCCTGTGCAGGGCAACAAAAGAAGACCCAGCCGATCAGCTGGGACTTGGGAGGTAGTGAATAGATGGGGGCGAGGCTAGTCAGAGGTGGTATTTGCTGATTCTCTGAACTACTCAAAATTTCTACTAGTGGTTTTCCAGAACTGGTCAGAACCTGCTGAATACTACCTCTGGTTATTAACATGATGGGGAGAAGACTGATATTTTTAACTTTGCACTTTACCCACCTAGCTAGGGAAGGAATGCCAAGATCAAATGAATAAATGACCAAATGCTTGGCAGTGCTACGATTAGATAGATTCAGAGCTGGTTGGACAGTTATATTAATAAGTACTTGTCAGTGACTCCTGATCAAGAGGATACACAGTACTTCATTATTTAGCTATGTGCTATTTAGAAATGACTTGGCTGAGATTGTAGAAATTATAATTGTTATATTTGGAGTCAGAACACCTTACAAAACAATATCAAGAAAATTATGGTGGGCTAGAGCAGTGGTCAGCAAGATTAATTTTACTAAGGGCAAATGTAAACTCCTACATTAAAAAAAATCAAATACGACTTTGGTGGATAACAGGCTGAATATGAGCTAACTACATGTATATGAAGCTACTGCAAAAATATAGATATAATTACTCGGGAAGGAAGACATATGTATTTTCTTACAAATTTAATAACAATGATGCTATGATACTTTTAATTTTTTATTGCTAGTTTTAATCACTTATTGTCCTGTGAATGCATTGCATATTTCATATAAATATTATTATATGACTACATTAACTATTTAATTAAACAATTTAATTGAAAATTTGTATAATGCTTTGGGATTTTTAAAGATAAGATGTACAAAATATGTTTTATTTGCTGGTCCAGACATGGATGTAAAATACAGGTGTTGTATTTTATCCTGTCCACTTTCTTGGGAGCAACAGGGTCAAACCATTCCCAGATAACAGGGCAAGAACCTGCCTCAGGGGCTTCCACTGGACCAGCAAATAAAGCACACAAATAAATGTTCTAGATATAAATAGACTGGAATGGAGTTCTTCAAATAAAATTTGTGCATGTGTATTTCAAGCCATGAAATAGTAAGAAATGGAATGGTACTGATACTTCTTCCACTCCCCCCTCCCGCAACCATCCTGTCAGAACCTATTCTTCCCTCCACCATTCAGTCACAACTAATGAAGCTTATTGGATGACAAGCGAAACATCTTCTTCAAGGAGAAAAAAACCCCAGTCCAGTTGCCTTTTGAAAAAGCACCATAGAGACAACTATGACCTGGATGACTGAGAATTTCCACAGACATACTACATGACATTAAAAACCTTATATATGTTCCACGTTTTTCACTGCCTGCACTTGCACAAAGACATAGAGACAGACGGCCAGGCAGCTTATTTCCATGTCTGTGTTACTCAGTCTTTTACTTCAGTTCTAGTGCACTTTTCAGGGAAAAAACCTCCA